ACAGAGTAAAGCTCTCTCTATACTGTCCCTATTAAACCCTCCCAGGATGGGGACAGCATGGGGTTAGATACAGAGTAAAGCTCCCTCTACACTGTCCCTATTAAACCCTCCCAGGATGGGGACAGCACGGGGTTAGATACAGAGTAAAGCTCCTTCTACACTGTCCCTATTAAACCCTCCCAGGATGGGGACAGCATGGGGTTAGACTTACCTGGAACTTTCTTGGCCCAGGCGATCATGTGAACCAGTTCCCTGTCAGCCAGGTTGGTCAGTGACATCATCATGGAGGCCTCGGTGTAGGGTTTGTTGGGTTGTTTTAGGGAGTAGACATTGGGTGGTTCTGCCTCTAACAGGGAGCTCAGCAGTTTCTCTGGGTCGAGCTGTCCCAGGCACGGCTGTGTGCTATTATTGAGATCATTTTGAACAGTCCTCTTGCTTCTGCTCCCGTGTTGTGCTTGTGGACTGGAGAGGCGGCTCTGTCGGCTGAAGCGATAACTGGAACGGTCTCTCCGCGTGTCTGTGTCGCAGACAGAAAGATTGAGAGAATGAGGCAGAGGGGCTGGGGAAAAGGCCACTGCAGGGATGGCTGGAAACGAGTTTCCTGTCCCTCTCTGTGGTCCAGTTCTGACCGTTTTTGAAGCACCGCTAACTGGGACTCTGTGATTCTGTGATTCTATCTAAAAATTGGTTACAAGCTCCAGCCTCTCATTGGTCACTCCGTAGGACAGTTGGGACTGGATATCAGGAGGCAAGGGTGTTGGGGAATTGAGGGATATGGGGAGAGTGTTTGAGGGAAACAGGAAGAGGGTTAGAGGTTTACAGGGACAGGGTTTGGGGTTTACAGGGAGAGGGTTTGGGGTTTACAGGGAGAGGGTTTGAGGTTTACAGGGAGAGGGTTTGGGGTTTACAGGGAGAGGGTTTGGGGTTTACAGGGAGAGGGTTTGGGGTTTACAGGGAGAGGGTTTGGGGTTTACAGGGAGAGGGTTTGAGGTTTACAGGGAGAGGGTTTGGGGTTTACAGGGAGAGGGTTTGAGGTTTACAGGGAGAGGGTTTGGGGTTTACAGGGAGAGAGTTTTAGGTTTACAAGGAGAGGGTGTGGCGTTTACAGGAAGAGGGTCTGAGATTTACAAGGAGAGGGTTTGAGGTTTACAGGGAGAGGGTTTGAGGTTT